CGCAAATTTTGTACGAAGTGCGCGAAACGTTGAAACGACGCATGGCCGACGAGCACACCTACGAATGGTCCACGCAACAACAACAACAACAACAACAAGGGCGGCAGCATTCATTTGCCCAGTTCTCATATGTCGACAAAATGTCGCAAACCGATTTCCGTTATAGCATGAGCACTATCGTAGAAAAAATGATGACTGTGTGCAGAGGTGACGCTGTAAATTCTTCCGGCGCGAGTGAAAACAATCGCGAAGAGGATAATGACCACGGCGGCGGCGGCGGCGGCGGCGGCGATGCTGGCAACGGTAACAGCATCATTACTCAAGGATCAACGCTGGACAAATTTGTTCGTTACATAATAACAAAAATAGCTCGGGTCGATTAATGCTGAATCTCTATTTGAATCGTTTCGAGCTAACAACACCAGCCGTAGCGCCCTTGTTCCGCATCGATTACGACGATTCGAATCCACCAAATCGATATAGATTCAACGAGTTCACGATCGGCGCATAAAACGATTCGTGGCTCGTGCTATAGATTCGATCAACGAGTACTTTGGACTGGTGTGTTCGCGCGACACGATCAACATTATCTTCATGCATCGTAGCTAAACGCGCTCCACCGAGCAACAATGAGGACAACGAATCAAACGACGCTGGCGCTTCCTCGTCAAGAGTGACACAGCCGCCACAATCGATGCGCTATCAACGACTATTGACTGACTACTTTGTTGACGATGAAGATACTCTCGCTTTCGAGAGTAACATGTTGAAACAGTTGAGCGAAAAATCGTATGATCGACGTTTCGTATGCGATACGAAAGATCTTCTTTCGCGTCTAGTGCCCTTTGTCTCTACGCTGCCGCAGTATTATTGTCACATCGCGAGACACGTTGTTTCTTTCTATTGGGTGAGTGCAAAAGTTCGTGCGGAGTTTCAATAGATGGAGTTATAAGCGTCGTAAAGTGTTGTCATTAATACTTCCATCTACATATTATATAACGTTGGAAAGGTGACGTCTTCAGTAGAATAAGCTAGGCCGGTTCTAACTCAGAAGCGCTGAGGGGGGCGCGGGGGAAGCGGGGAACTCAGGGCGCGGGGTATGACGTTGCGCGGGGAAGGGGAACTCATGGTGGGACGTCACGCATACGTCACGAGAAAAAAAATGTGGTGGGACGTCACGCAAGATGGTGACCGTGATGTCATGCATACGTCACGAGAAAAAATGTCATATAATGTGTTTTAAATGTCCCCTCGTAATTATCAAACTGAAATAATATACAGAGAACTGAAATTATATACAATGTTTATATAAAACTTTATATATAATTAGTATGTTTTGACCGAAATAGTTACATATCGAACATCTTTCCAACGTCTCTCGAACGTCTATTGAACATCTCACGAACGTCTCACGAATGTCTATCGAACGTCTATCAAACATCTATAGGTATTTTTATCAATATAATTAACATAATTAACATAAAAAATCCTAAGAAAGGGGATAAGGGGAAGTTGGAAGAAAGGATCTGGTCTAAAGTAAAAAAGATGTATCATAATATATAACAAAGTAATTTATTTATACTTTTATTACAATTTGTAAACGCTGCAATATAATGGTGCTGTGTATTATAATATCACATTTTGACCAAAATATTTTTGTCAGCCGTCGACCTCCCAGACTGCTGATACCAATCATAGGTCTATAAGTCTATTATTGTATCAGATAAAGAAATGTATGCATATCTTATCATAGGATGCCTGTGAAGCATTTAGTGCTGCATCATGTAAAGATATGACTATTTTGGCTAGGTTTTTCCGGGAGTTATAATAACGAGAAGAGTGGCAAAAGTGAAACATATAGATTTAATTTTGTGTGTATTTACCAGTCAGAGCTCTTTCAGTATGGATCGTGAAAACATAGAGCATGAAGAAGTAGAAGACGAAGAAATAGAAAACGAAGAAATAGAAGACGAAGAAGTAGAAGACGAAGAAATAGAAGACGAAGAAGATATAAATCATATACTCACGGATGATAGTAATTATGATAGTGACAATAGTAATCAATTAGTGAATGAAAAAGTGAAGAAATTGGAAGTTTCAGAAATTAATACTTTGAGTGGCCAAACAAAAGTGTGTTGCATTTATTTTTCATATAATTCTGGAGACAATTTACGGTTCTGCACATCATGTTTTGTTGATGGCGTTCGCGATACAGTTACAGAAATATTTGCAGTGCGCAAACACATCACCGAAAGACACGATGTGATTGATGGTGTATTTTGTTCAAACTGTAGAAACCCCGTCTACCAAATAACACCATGTAATCTGTGTCCAATATGTATGCACTAATATGACATATTTAAAACAGAATTCTTATACGGTACAAAACTTCATCCAATACACTATACAAGATAAAAGAAGCAGGAAGAATGTAATAACGATATGTGTGTGTGTGCGTGTGTGTGCGCATGTGGAAGACAGAAGAGCTATAAAAAAGTTCAAATCAGAACATTCTATAATTTAGTCGAAGACAAACAGAGTGGACGCCAGACTGCTGATACCAATCATAGGTCTATAAGTCTATTATTGTATCAGATAAAGAAAGGCATGCACTTAGGCAAAGTCCACAACGAGTTGATATGAGTTTAAGACTCAGGAATGTGTTTAATAGTTCGTCGAGGAAGTTTCCCGAATTTTGATAAAGGCATGTATTTGTGAAAGAGTTAAGGGCTATAAAATGTTCAAAGCAGAATATTTTATAGTTTAGTCGAAGACGAGCAGAGCGCGCAGTTACAGTGTGTTTACAACGTTTTGCTAGAAAAATAGCAGAATCATCATTATCATCATTATCAACCGTAGAACGTGAACTGCAGAACCAGGTCGCTCAATTAGGCTCGCTAGACGAATACCTCGCATGGGAACAAAAATGTGACGAGTGTCTCGAGTCGTTGGAACAGCATAGCCGAGCCAAACAACCACGACTATCGGTTGGTTCAGCGCACTCGATGGTTGCTCGTATAGCACAACTCGAGGGTTTAAAAAATACTTTGCGCAGACGTTTTGTATACGCAGGAGCCGGACATTCGACACTTGTTTGGCGAGAAATCGATACAGCGTTCAATAGTCGCATATCAACCGGGGCGATTGTAAATACAGACTATATCGACCCTCTTCGATTTCTCCAAGATGTGAAGAATATCGTGCTCGAGCATGTGCGAAGCGTTATGAAGAGACATGGTAGCATAAAAGTGAATACTGTGTTCAACGGTGAATTTGTGGCAGGTGATAAACGCGCGAACAAGAGCATTAATACGAGGAACGTTGAACTTTTTTTCACATCCGATCTAGACAATTGGTTCGCGATGCGTGTTATCGAACCCACCTTAGCGTCCAGGGAAGAATTTCAGGAACGAGATAGCGGATGGGCACTCTGGCGCATACTCAATCTGACCGTTAATGTTAACAAGTACAATCCATTACATTCGGGATGTCATATCGAGTTACGGCGCGAAATAAAAATGGAGCGGGCTATAATCAACGTGCAATCTATGGACAATGCATGTTTCGCATGGGCAGTGGTTGCAGCGTTATGTCCAACCGACAAACACGCAGATCGTCAATCTTCGTACCCACACTATACATCGGTTTTGAATATGCAGGATATTGAATTTCCAATGCGCATAAATCAAATTAAAAAGTTTGAACGGTTGAACGATATCTCGGTCAACATTTATAGTGTGGAGAAGAGATATGACAACGCGACAAAGAAAGAAGGAAACGTGGTCGCACCTATACGTCTTACGGAACAGAAAATGGAGAAGCATGTCAACCTGCTGCATATCCCAGATCCGCGAGATGATGATAACGCTGGGCACTTTGCGTGGATCAAGAATTTGTCCCGACTCGTCAGCTTACAACTGAGCAAAAAGGAACACAAAAAACATATTTGCGACCGGTAAGTATATACAAAGAACGCAATGTATAATGTGACATATACTAATAACAAATAATGTTTTTCCAGATGTCTACATTACTTCAGCTCGAGCGAGAAGCTGGAGAACCATACCGTCGACTGTGAAAAAATGAATAACTGTGCCATCATCTTGCCAAACGATGACAACAAATGGCTCAGCTTCACCAACTACTGCAGGAAGGAGCGGATCCCGTTTATAGTTTACGCCGACTTGGAATGCATCCTGGAGAAGACACCGAGGGAAGAACAAACGAGTTCGTATGCGTATCAACATCATAGCGTATTTAGTATAGCATATTACGTTCGATGTTCCTACGACGAGTCATTATCCGCGTATCGATGTCGTCGCGATCGGGATTGCATCTCATGGTTTGTCAAAGAACTTGAAGAACTGGCACATCGTGTAAAGGATATTTTGTCCGCAAATGTCCCCATGGAAACTTTGTCGAAAGAACAGTGGGAGACATTTCAAAACGCTATGCTGTGCCATGTGTGCGAGAAATCATTCGCAAAGGATGATACACGCGTGCCCGATCATTGCCACCTGACTGGACGGTACAGAGGTCCCGCATTTTCCAATTGCAATCTAAATTATCAAGACAGTTATTGCATTCCCGTGGTCTTTCACAACTTATCCGGTTATGATTCACACTTTATCATCAAAGATATAGCAACCGCGTTCGAAGGTTCAATCACTGTACTACCGATAACCAAAGAGAAATATATTTCATTTACAAAGACTGTAGGAAACATGATGGATAGTAAGAATAAATGGAAAAATTGTATACAATTGCGGTTCATCGATTCGTACAAATTTCTCAGTAGTAGTCTCGATAAATTGGCGTCTTTTCTCGACAACGACAAATTAAAAATTGTTCGGTCCGAATTTTCAAATTTGTCCGACAAGGATTTTGATTTATTGACGCGAAAGAGGGTCTTTCCGTACGAATACCTTGATTGCGCGGACAAGCTGCAGGATCGGTGTTTACCGCCGCGCGAGTCATTTTACAGTTCGTTGACGGGTGACATGGTATCTGAGAGCGATTACGCGCACGCCACGAACATCTGGCAACGGTTCGCCATTCAAACCTTAGGTGAATATAGCGACTTGTATCTGAAGATTGATGTCTTGTTGCTGGCCAATATTTTTGAAAATTTTCGCAATAGTTGTATCAAAAGTTATGGGTTAGATCCCGCGTATTATTACACTTTGCCTGGTTTTACGTGGGATGCTATGTTGAAGCATACGGACGTTAATTTCGAACTGCTCACTGATATCGATATGGTCATGTTCATCGAGCGCGGTATTCGCGGTGGCCTCAGTCAATGTTCCGGTAGATATGCAAAAGCCAATAACAAGTACATGCAGTCTTACGATCCATTGCAACCATCATCATACTTGATGTACTTCGATGTAAATAACTTGTATGGTTGGGCAATGTGTCAACAGTTGCCATACGCCGAATTTCGATGGGTCGATGATGTATCGAATTTCGACGTATCATCAATCGCACTAGATTCACCTATAGGTTACATTCTGGAGGTTGACTTAGAGTATCCGCAACATCTGCACGACGCACACACTGACCTACCGTTCTGTCCGACACGGGGCAAACCGCCAAACAAAAAGCAGGACAAGCTTCTCGCAACCTTATGCGATAAGCAGCGTTATGTGATTCATTATCCGCAACCTGCAGCAGTGCACGCGTCACGGTCTTCGTATTGGAAAGATACACCGCATACTCAAATTTGCTCAATCTCCATGGCTCCGCGATTATATCGAACTTAATACGGAGTTTAGAACACGCGCGACAAACGATTTCGAGAAAAATTTGTACAAATTGATGAACAACGCGGTATTCGGTAAAACTATGGAAAACGTTCGCAATCACGTAGACGTAAAACTATTGACAAAATGGGATGGACGATACGGTGCTGAGGCAATGATTGCGAGACCAAATTTTCATAGCAGAAATGTCTTTTCGGAAAATTTAATCGCCGTTGAGCTACGTAAACTTGAGGTGAAATTCAACAAGCCGATCTATGTGGGTATGTGTATCCTTGACATATCCAAGATCTGCTTGTTCGAATTTCATCACGAGTACATGTCTCCTCTGTATCAGAACAGATGTAAAGTAATGTACACCGATACTGACAGTTTAATCTACCATATCCAATGCGATGATATTTTCGAGCACATGAAACGTGATATTTCTAAGTTTGATACGAGTGATTATCCCGCTGATAATGCGTACGGTATACCGCTTGTCAACAAAAAGGTACCAGGTCTGATGAAAGATGAAAATAACGGAGCGATTATGACGGAATTCGTCGGGCTCAGAGCAAAGATGTACGCGCTAAAGGTAGACAGCAAAAATGATACGAAGAAGGCGAAAGGTGTGAAGACCAATGTCGTAGCGCGAACTATAACGTTTGATGATTATATGCAGTGTCTGAGAGATGAGGTCGAAAAGCAACGTCGTCAGTCATGCATACGATCCAAAATGCACAAAGTCTACACCGTGTCCGAACTGAAAACTGCTCTGAGTCCGTATGATGACAAGCGGTATATCGTACCGAACTCAACAGACACTTTACCATGGGGACATTACAGATACAATTGTAAACTAAAAAGCGATCATTGTGCATACATGTATATTGTAAAATGAAAAGCGATCATTGTACATATATTTGTTTGTAAGAAATATTGTTAACTATAATAAAAGGTTTATTACAAGCTGTTTATAATAGGATATTGTAATAAAAAAGTGTTTATAACAAAGAATTGGTTACAATACATTTTCTTTGTGTATCCAAGAGTTGTGCGAATTATCAAATCCCAACCATTTCACTAAAACCTTGTCGCTGCTTTTTCGCAACACCTTTTCCACGAGATAAACGTCAGGATTAGCAGCGCGATGCAGTTCGTATTCGTAAAATCCTCCGGCAATAGACTTTCCGCGAGAATCCTCGAGCAGATAGGTCGCTGGATTGGTTGTCTGCACTTTCACGATTTTAAACACTTCGGTTGTCCAATTCGGTGTATAGCCTTTTTCAAAGATGGTTTTGAATTTGCTCACGCGTACCAGATCACCCACTTTGAATCTCGCAGGTGCAGCGATCTTTACGTTGTTGTAGACTGTGTGTAGGAGCTTATCAGCGATTTCGGGTATCACATCGATAGGACGCATGCCGATAATTCGATGTTTCCGTGTGTTGTACTCCGTGATAAGGCGCGGTAACGAGTCGATCCATTTGTATGTTCCATTCAACGTAAACATTTTCCACATGGTGTTCTTTAACGTGCGGTTGAATCGTTCCACAACAGATGCCTTCATTACCGAGTACGTAGAATAATGATTGATACCATGTTTTTTAAAGAGTTTCTGCAGATCCGCATTATAAAATTCCTTTCCCAGATCCGTTTGCACATTTTTCGGACATCTTCCAGATTTTTGAAATATCCTGGCGAATACTGTCACTGCTTCTTTACCGCTCTTGCTCTTCATCGGTACAGCCCACGCATAACACATCGATAATAGTGAGTATTTAGTAGTAGCCTCTATTGAATCGCGAGTAAGGACGCATCTCTACCAAGTCAGCTTGCCAAAGATCA